TTAAATTTATTAACAAAATTTTAAAATTTATTAATAAAATTTAAATTTATACTAACTTTTTCTGTATTTTTATTGATCAATCATATTACACTGCAGCTAAAAAATTAGCATCTATATATAAAATTTGTTGGCTTTAAGTGATCTTTATCATACCAAATGATCTTTCTAAAGAGGAAATTCTAATAATTTTAAAGCAATTACTAGATCCTGAGATCAATCTATATTTGTATATTATTATAAATACTACTATAGTATATACTATATAGTACAAATTTAAATCGATTTCAGAATCTAGTAATTGTATTTTTATAATTTTAGGCTTGATAGAATCCTCACTTTAAGGAGATTATTTTAGTAGTTAAATCATTCAAATTGAACTAATAAGTCAAAAATTATTTAATATTAAATTTTAAAATTTAATATTAAATAACTTTTGATCTATTAGACCAATTGAATAATTCAACTACCAAAATGATTTTCTCAAAGAGAAGATTCTAACAAGCCTAAAATCATAAAAATACAATTACTAGATTTTGATATTGATCTAGATTTGTATACTATTATACTAATATATATTACTATATATAGTATAGTACTATATATATAATATACAAATGTAGATTAATTTTAGGATCTAGTAATTGTATTTTTGTGATTTTAAATTTGTTAGAATCTTCTCTTTAAGAGGATTATTTTGGCAGCTAAATCATCTAAATTGGTTTGATAAATCAAAAATTATTGATTATTAAACTTTATTAATAAATTTATATTTTGGTCAAAAAAAATATATTAATTTTGGCTAGAATGTATTAATTTTGGCCAGGATATAATAATTTTGGCCAGAGTTATATCTGAACTTTGGCTAACCCACTTACTCACCCAAAAATCAGCTAATTTTTGAAAGCTCTCTTATTATCTACTAGTAAAAAAGCTAGCAATATATATATATAGTCTTGTTTCTTAAATTATTTTTACAAAAAAATATATTCTTGTTAAAAAAAAGAACAAAGTCTATACTTCTTGTTATTACTCACTTGTATTTCCATCATAATTTTCAAAAAAAGTAAACAAAACAGTTTACTCTTGTCAACAATTAGCATTGTTTACTTTTTTTATATTTAAATTATATAGTAAAATATAACTACATGTTTATAGTAAACATGTTACTTTTGGAGACTTAATAGACAAGATCCATCAACTAATAATTAGGCTAGCAAAAAGCAAACTAGACTTTCAAGTTACAGTACCAAACTATGTAACTACACACAAGAATATAGGAAATTTCAGAGTATTAAACACAGAGCTATTAAATAAACAAATCACAAGTCTACATAATAGATTAAATGATGAAGGGGTAATTAACAAAATCACTGAGCTGGGAATTTGGCAAGGACACTAAATAGCTGGTTTAACAGAGAGCTTTGATAGCTGAGAAGAATATATAGTGCTTGAAAAACTCTGGAAATATAATCAAACAATGCTAACTTTGGTAAAGGGAGCAAAGAAGTAATTAGTAATTAAACCAACACAAGGTAGTTGGTGAACCAGAAATATAGGTAGAACAATATGTAGTATGATAGAAGGAAAAGCTTTAATGCAGTGTGCAAAGAGATTAAAATCCCTAAATCTAATATTTATTGAACAGCTCTTGGATATGCAGGGGAAACAGATGATTACATGGCATTATCTTAAATGAGTCAAAGAAAGATCTAGTAAAGGAAAAGTTTCAATCTGGTTTAAGTTAATCGAGAATCAGATGATCACTAACTTTAATACAAGAGAGATAAAGCAAGATCTACAAACAAGTAGCACAAACAAATTAGCGTTAATACTCCAAAGAGTAAAGGTCTCAGAAGACAAACGTAAACTCGATTGGATACTAGTCAACAACAAAGAGAACAAGCCAGATATTCGAAGAGTAATTAGCAAGAGCAAAGAAAGATTTTGCACAAAGAAGTGGTTAGTTAGCAAAGAAAAGAAAGGTAAAATTAAAATAAATAAAAAAGCAATTACATCAAGCAACACCCAACAAACAGAGTGAATCAATAAGAAAAAAGTAATCATAGCATTGCAAGAGCTTAGAAAGCAAAATAGTAATTGGGTTCTTGATATGACACAAAGCTTACTTGAAGAAATTAGGAAAAATAATATTGATCCAGAAATAACTAGTAGGAGGAAAATAGGTAGAGGTTTATATAGTTTAGAACATGCAAGCCTGGCAGATATAGTGTATATAGATAGGTTAGAGAGAGACTATATTAAAAAACAAGGGTTTAGTGAATATTGTGATGAGTTATTATTAAATCAACTAGATAGAAATATAGAAACAGACCAAAAAGCATTAACTTTCTATACAGATGACTCATTATTCAAAGAAATGAGTAATAGAAGAGCATTATGCAGACAGGGTTTAGATTAGCTGCAAGTTGACGAAAAAGAAAAAACTAAGTTACAGGAGGGGTACTTAAGTATAGAACATTGGCCGTCATCGACAAGAGCTAAATTAGCAGCAATATGGGTAGTTCTACTTATAGCTTCGATAAGGACCAAAATCAAAATTTATACAAATAGTGCAGCTGCAATAAATGCAATCAAAAAAGGTGAAAGTTTGAGAACAAATAGAGAATAGCTAAAACAAAAAAACTATTTTTTGCTACTCAAAATTATAGATGCCAAAAACATAAAAGAATTGAAGCTAAAACTAATTAAAGTTAAAGGTCATAGTAAGAACAAATGGAACGATAAGGCAGATTATTTAGCAAAGAAAGGGTTATTAGCACCAGACCTATGAATACAAGAAGTAGTATCAAGTTTAAGGCTTAGATATAATATTTATTGACAGAACAGCCTTATTGAAATTCCAACAAGAAATTTCATCAAAGAACTTAAAGATACAAGAATTGCGCAAAATGAAAAATATTAAGTACTGTAAGTCTACTCGAGCCAAGAGACAACACACAGAAGTGGGATTGGAAAAGTTTATGGAGAAGAATTAAATTCCAAAGTGAAGTGCACTGTACATTAATACAAAAAGAGAAAAAGCTCAATTTTCTGATCAAGTGCCTGCATAATCAGCTCCCAGTACTGAGCAACCTTATTAAAAGAAGGCCAGACCTATATGAGAAGAGTAGCTGCAAGTTGTGTAAAGATAATATAGAAGAAACACAAGATCATTTAGCATGCTGCAGAGTATAGCAGACCAATTGGCATAAAATTGAGCAAGTGGCAATTGAAACAGTACAAGCCCTTATAAGTGAATCTGAGAGAAGAGGGAAATTACGAACAAGTGAACTCCAAAAATGTCTATTTGGTGAAATATACAAAGAGCAAAAAGAATGAAAAGAAGGCTACACTCGAGGTCTATTTAAAAGTACAGTCATAGAAGAGCTCATCGATCAAGGCTTAATAAAAAAAGAAGCAAATCTAGCTTTAGACGCAGCAATACATATTTTGTGGAATAGATTTTATAAAATTGTATAGCAATCAAGATGTGAAAAGATGATAGAGTGGGAACAAGAAAAAGGCATCTCTAAGCAGCAAAAATTAGAAAAAAGGACCAAAGTGCAAGATAAAAAGAAGATTAACAGGGAAAAAAGAAAAGAAAAGACAGAAACACAGAAAAATTCTTATCAGAAGAGTAGAAAACCGCCTAACTCTAAAGAAGCCATACTACAGAAAGTTAAAGATAGAAAGAAAATTACAAATAGAAGAATAGATGCTTTGGTAAGAAAGACAATATGGAATAGAATTAGAGTTGGTGGAAAGCCATTTTGGTATGATACTTAGGCTGATTTAACACAGCCCCTAGTTTTTAGAATAATCTTCAAATTAGTACGACAAGTTGCACTTGGGCACCTTTTAGATAGCCGGGTGATGTTAGGCTTGCAAATTAGGAGTAAACAAGTGTATAATTTAGTAATATACTTAGAATCTTAATAAAGTACTAGTGAAACTGCCTAAGATTAAAAAAAAAAAAAAAAAAAAAAAAAAAAAGTAAATATGCTACTATGACACATAATAGATTTATTATACAAACAAGTTATTCAAAGCTGGTTATATTGTCAGAAAAACAAACCAAATATTAAAACTTAGCTTCATACTAAAAATATACAAATATATAGTTTTTCTTTTATTTTGTATATGATTTTATTAGACTCTATATAGGCTATAATAGTGATCTTATTTTTCATTTATAAAAAGCTTTTATTTTTTTATTTTTTTTCTATTTTTTGTCTTTTTTTGGGTTTTTTATTTTATTTTTGTTACTTATTAAATCTTTTTTTCTTTATTTTATATTCTTCTATTAGTTATAGTATTGTTTTCTACTCTTTATATTTTGAAGTTTATTTGTAAATCAGTAATGAATAGTTACATTTGATGACTATGATGACTTAGATAACTTTGCCACTAATTATTTGTTACTCTAAAAATTAAGTGACTAGTTACTTAAATAATTAAAAATCTAAAATAATTTAGTATAGTTTTAGTATAATATTACTTAATTTAAATAATAGATTTGCTATTTAGAGTTAGGATTCCATAGTCTAGTGGTTTAGGCACCTAACTCTCTACAGATGAGGTTGATGGTTTAATTATAGCTAGTAGTAATTAATTGAATTAACTATCTCTGTAACCTTTGGGGGCTTTTGAATGCGAAATCCTGTAGTAATAAAACTATATGAAGTATATATTTGGCCGATAAAGAATTTTTGGAAGGAGTCCTGAGCTATGGAGAAGATTAGGTACTGCGTGTAATATGGGTTACGGAAGGTAATACTGCAAAAGGCCATGTGTATGAATTCATGATTGGCAAGGTAGCACCAACAACTCTAAGGTAGCATTGGGATCTTAATTGAGAGAACAGCTATATGCAATATATCTAGAAGTAGTGAAAGAAGCGATGAATATAGTAAGAGGCTGTGGTAAGAAAATAGCTTTACCAAATATAAAACATCTCTGGTACAATAAAGAAACAAGAAAAACTGGTTAAAAGAAACTCTGAAAAGCATAGAAGCAAGCATTCTAGTGGTACGAATATAAAGCCGGCTAGTGAGTAATAGTCGCACAACCTATATAGAAGTCTATGCCAAAACACAGCAGAAGCGTAGATTCCAAGTTACTACTTTGTGGCAGTAATTAAATAAGGTACTTAACTCCTATCCTAAGAATCTAGACTTCTGTATTACCATACTGATAGGAAGTACTATAAAAGAAGTGGTAGCCTAATTAAGTGGTGTATAACGTAAATACCTGGAACCATATAAACAGCTCTCCTAATGATGGCAGCAGGTGGCTTGAGATATGGGTCTTCAGATAGTAGTAGCATCTGGCTTGAAATACAGATTAAGATCTAAAGTAATATCTCTAGAAACACCAAACTGGAAGCAAGAAGAACACCCACTTTTAGAACACCAATTTGGAAGTTATACAAGAAACGAATTAGAAGTAATGTGATAAGTGATGAGGAGTGGATTAAAACTAGTAGACATTGTACAATAGTATATATAGCAGGGTTTGGTAAAAATATTAAGGTTCTAAGTTAAATCAGAATTTAGAGTGCTTTTTGATAGAGATTCCCAAAATAGTCTATCTTATATATGAGATAGTGTAGATAGTTGCATCTGGGCGCTATATAGGATAGCCGAGTAAAGTCATAACGACTATTTAGTTAGATAGTTAAATATATGTAATATATATATACTGTTCGGTTAAATATAATAATAAAAGAGAGGTGTGGCGACTTAGTATAGTGGTCTAGTCATCAAGTGGCAGGTCTAAAGTTCAAATCCCACGGACAACGATATTTGAAAAATAGGCTTGTGTTTTGGTTAACGGTTATGCTTATCGATTGGATCTAGAACTAATTTGTAACTTCGGTCACACCATTTTGTAATGAAAGCTTTGGCACAATAAATCTGAGAAACTGGTATAACTGAAAACCTATTTGGCAAGTCCCGAATTGGGAGTAGCGGTGATCTTCGACAGTATCACAGAAAAGCTGAATTCGAACTGGGGCCCAAGATCAGAGAACTGAGCAACCAGGTCTGCTGGCAGAAGACACACCAGCTGAACTGCCGGGTTGTCGCATCGGAGGAAAAGGACATATGCTCTGAAAGTATAGACCAAGGAGAGGACATCTTTCAGGCACCTAAAGCCTAGGCAGACTAACCCATCCAAGTTGCTAGTAGGGAGCGGAATAGGCCGGGTTGGGCTAGGCTTTTATAAGCCCAAAACCAAGCCCGGAAAATATTTACAGGCCCAAGCCCAGCCTGCTAAAAAAAAAGCCCGTAAAGTATGGGCCGGGCTGGGTTTTAAATTTAAACTAGGCCCGGCCCAACCCGGCCCATAAAAACTATCTGCTCACGAAAATATAATAATTACTTAACTATATATAGTTTTTAATAGTTCGCTTATATAATATACAGCAAGCTATATAATTTTAAATGTATACAATATTAATATAGCATCTGTAAGTACATAATTCATTTAAAACAAGATCATAAATACTTACTTATTTACCGTTAAGTTTAAATTCATTTCATTTGCATTAATTTAGTCTGCAAGTATAAAGAACATTTATTAATTAATGGAAATAAAAACAGCAAAGCAAGTTCACAAAACAAGACCATAATACTTATTTTACCATTATGCTTAAATTTATTTCATTCTATTCAGCGCGTGAGTATAAAGAATATTTATTAATCAACAAAATTAAAAACAGCAAATCAAGTTCATTTCATTCGCATTAATTTAGTTGGTAAGTATAAAATTATTTATTTACATTTGATATAAAGTTTAAATTGTATATGCGAAATAAAACTTTATATATTATATAGACAAGCCAAATATGGAGAATATGTACATTGTAATGAAGGTAACATTTCTGAAGCATGCGACTCTGACATAACAGCAAGGTGGACAATTGGAAATAAAGATATTGATGATTGCATAAAGGAATTCCAACTTAGAGCCTGGAGTTATGAAAACACAATTGAATGGATTTTATTTGATAAATTATCTGATATTAAAGAAATTGGTAAAGGTGGATTTGGTTCTGTATATTCAGCAACCTGGTTGGATGGCATACGAAAAGTTAATGAAAACTATATTTACAAAAGAGCATGTGAACTATCCAGCATCATTATATTCAAAACGTTGACCAGTTCAAAGGAAACCAATTTGATTTTTTAAAAAAAGTAAATTTATAGCTTTGATAATTCATTAATTTTATTAATAAACTAATTCATTGTTTAAACCTTAAGTTATGAAATATACATTAAAATATACGATGCTCGCAATATATGGAATAACTCAGAACACAAAAACAAACAAATATTTGATGGTATTTCAGTATGCTAATGATGAGGGTCTTCATAAATATTTAAAATACACTTATATGGCTAGGGTTCCGCAATTTGATTTGATTTGATTTGATCAAATATTTGATCTCAAATCAAATTCAAATTGAACTAAATTTAATTTGATCAAATTCAAATTAAATAATTATTTGATTCGAATTTGATTATCAAATATTTGATTTGATTTGATTGATTTGAATTATTTGAATTTCACTGACCAATCAAATTTCAAGTAAATACAAAAAATCAATAGTTTTATTTCACACGC